GACGAGGTAGCGAACACTCGTTATCACATCTGTGACGCATAACAGACGGCTATGTTCGCCGGTTATGGTTGCCGTTAATGCGTGCCGGCTTGGAGGTTTCCCGAATCATTTTTCGTGTCGACCGATTTTGAGTTGGGAAAATTGCAGGGTTTTCTGCAATTTCTGGCGGACTTTCCATACTGGTTATGATATCAGCACCAGTCAGGATTATCCGTCTCTCGAGGTCTAGATACAGACCGCCTACGTGAAGTGCTTCTTCGCAGGGTGTGTGACCGTTTACGGTCGTTACGGAGTTTGAGATAACGAGTAAGTGCATGATATAATTCTGTCATGTCCTTCTGGGTCGTTTGAGGCTTTTATTTGACTGAAAAAACTTTGGCGTCAGAAGATCTAGTGATTTCGAGAATGCGGTCGGCAGATGCAGCCAGCTCGTCTACGGCGTTGTTTTGGAACGAGACCAGCACAGCTTGCACCTGTTGAGGAAATTTTGATAAGAAAAGCTGTTTGAGTAGGCCATCATAAAAGGTTCTTTGGCCAATGACTTCTCTCACTCTTCGCAACATGTCTGTGGCGGAGCCGTGTTGCAGGTCAATGTTGTTAAGGTGTTGGTCTAACCTTTGTCGATCGGTTAGATCTCCGCGTTTAAGCATGGCCTGTTTGAGGGTTTTGTATGGGTCAGAAACATCACTAATAAACATACTAGGTGTTACGTACCTGTTAAATTCGCGCGGTAGTGCCTTGACTACTGCGAGGAATTGTGCACGTGTGTCGTTCACACCGTGCTCGTAGAAGTCGGCTTCTGCGTAGCAAAACCAGGCTTCCATGTTGTATGGCCTGAAGGGCATAAGTTGGAAGGAAGGTGAGGACACAGTCTTTAACTTAAATACCTTGGATGTCTGTTCAGTCATGGTGAAATATCAAGTACGAAAATGAACGAGTGGGAAATATATATCCAAAAACACGGAAAAAATGTCACAATGTATAAGAAATTAAAATAAGACAATAATATATAAAACCACAAAAAGGAACAGACTCACAGTTTGCAATTTAGTGTACCAGATCACGTTAGGCTCACCAATGAAGATGCCACAGATATTCGGAGTTTGACAACGCTTAAACCAGTAACACCTTCTAATATGAAGCGCATCCACCAAGTAAAATCAAAAGGCAGAAACAAGGAGGTTCGAAGATATATTTGATAGGCCATCGATATATCTGATCTAATCTGGCTAGTGATTGCGGCAGATGTTGAGCACGGCGTTCCCACACGTGATCTGGTGCGAATGCTTGAACGAGCGCCTTCAGCTAGATGAGTCCACTAAAACTGTAGTCAACATCCAATGTCGAAAACTTACAGAGCTATTTGATTTTGGGGAATTATTCACCGCTACAGCATCAATCAACCGTATTTCAAAAACACACCATCGAAGAGTTTGAACTTAAATGTACTCGCTTTAGATAAGTGACAATCTACGAAGTGTATCGATGTTTATAAATGAAGCCTTTTTGTATGTACTGCTGTCATGAAAATAACCGCTTTCTTCGTTATAGACAGAACATACTAAGATAAAGTAGTGATCATCACTATGTATTTCAGAGGCTCTATAATGCATTCGAAACGAAGCGTTCTGTCTCGTTAAAGAATACAGCGAAATTTTCTTTAAACCCGGGTTTCGTTGGTTTTTCGAGGTAGTCTGATCCTGTCATCTTTTTTTATCCTGTACTGAGTGCAACTACTCAATTTGGTGCCCTACAGAACTGAGAATACGAAGTCCAACAAAGCTAAAGAAGTAGTAAGAACCTTAGAGATCTAAAATAGCTTATCAAGGTTTGGAAGCTCCTCACGATATCATAATAATTTGATTATAAACGAACGTATAGCTAAGGATAAATATAGCTGAATACAGACAGCAATGGAAGTAACATCGTTAGTAAATAAGCGAAAAGAAGAAATGTTTATTTAACGAAAGTCAGCATGGTGGTTTTCTCACATACAACACGAAAATACATAGTGGACTTTTTGAAACCTACTAAATGAAGATAATCATTATCTAAATATAAAAGGCGAAAATAGATTTGAGGGTAGTTTTATGTCTAGTTGCACTCAGACTGTGTGAACGAAATCAGAGTCCTCGTCTTTTTTCTTGGCTTATGAATATTAATATATAATCTGGGTATTTTAGGTAATTAATAGTTATGGTAAGATGAGGGGTTGGTAAGAAACTCTACCGTTATGTCTTCAGTTGATGCAACAAAAGTCTGCTCAACCACTGCTAATCTTAAAGGTAGAATTCAGGGAGAAGTCCCGTGACGATATTCGAATTTATATAGTCTTTTAAAGGTAGATGAGTGACTATCATTGTATTCAACACGTCACTGAACGACTGAGTCAATAAATTAATACTTATGAAGGAAAATGCCCCGGATGCGACAGAGTTAGACGACGATTTTGTCGGACAATCTTACACCACTAAAAAAACATGGAAGGAGTCGGTAAGACCTGGAAGGAAAAAATAAAATTCAAAGCAGATAGAGACGCATGTTCAGCCTTAACGACCGTGTGATTAAGAACCAATTTCACTGGGAAATTACCATGCAATCTGTCTGGAGAGACATCAAAGTCTCATACAACTTGACTGAATATGTCTATAATGAATGGCCGAATATGCAATAGTTGGTATAACCAACATGATTCAAATTGGTATTGGATGTTTTTTATATCGCTTGATTATCATTACACGCCTACTGAGAAGCTAACGAAAGTCCTCATGTGCCGATGTGCTACAAGTAGATGGAGTCTATTTTATAATTCCTTTGGATTTTTCATGACTAAGTGATAATTAAAAGTAAGATAAATTCGGGTTTTGCAACTGTTCATTGTACACGTTTTAGCTTACTTTAGCAGGCTTATCAGTTAAAACTATTATACTATAAAACTACGGATTAAGTCGACGAACATTTCAGAAAAATACAGAAAGTAAACAACTAATTTACTAACACTTTCATATTCTATAAACCGATAGGTTGGACGGATTTTACTAGACATCACTTATTAATTTTATGTGTCCAGGTTTTCTAATGTTAACAGATTTGTTATACTTAGTATTATGTATCGATTACCGTGTTCTACTTGTGGTGGTAAAAAGTAATTTCGAGTTATGTTGTTTTGCTGATCACGCTTTTAATTAGATATAGTTTTTTATCTGCTTCTGAAATTGCTTATTATTTATTGAAATACAATTTGTTTTACTGAGTAAATTAATTAGCGCATCACCCAAAACTACACTCTGTTAACGAGTTAGTATGTCTTCTCTAGAGTCAAGTAAAGTTCAGCACCATAATTGCACAAATTCACCAGAGTTTTTAAAATCACCAGAAAGTGAGTTTTTTGTGTTGACTTCAGCTTTGTTTTATATGTGGTACAGCTCTCATTGTATAGGGGGCATAGAATGGCAAATCGTTTAGACGATTCATCACTAATTCAGCATCCCATGTGCTCGATGCTTCACTATCAAAAATTTTCATCGTAACACATTATTCAAATTAGGATCGTTATTTTCTATACGATTTGAGCAACCATACCGACAAATGTAATTCATATTGCATGGGGCATGAAATATCTTTGAATACTGACTAATTTGGGTGTTCAAAACCTCAGCTTTTTTAAATTAATCGCTTTGAAAACTTTCAAACGTTTGCTTGATAACTACCTAGGTTACGTGCTTGAAATATTGAGAACACTCACTTAGATAAAGGGGACGACTTAATAGATAACATACGGTGAACCTTAAATAAATTTCATCATGGCTGCAAAGAATCGGTCTATCGCTGTTTTTCGAACGTCATGGATTTCATAGATCGTCACTGTCTAGACTCCCGACTTCGAAAATAAGTCATTAACTATCCACAATTAGCTGTTGATAAAATATCTTTTCTCGTTAGGTTGATTTTCTATTTCAAGCTGACACTGCATTTAGCCAGGCTATTTAGTGATTTTCTTACTTAGTACGCGGTGGTCGGTAATCTAACGTTTAGAATACTAAAAATACCTTGGTGCTTATTGGTTGCTTTATGTTCTACTTTAAGATTCTAAAGATGTATATCATTGACAAAACTACAAATATCCAAGTTTAACCAAAAACAATTGTGTCAAAAGTAAATTTAATTCAGTGTTTCTATGTTTTTATAGTAGTTTTGATTCGCGATGTTTAAGTCCTGTAAAGTATTTCGGAAATGTCCCCGAAATTACAACTTACTCCGAATAGCATCTAGAATATCAAATTTTAACACAATATATTGCCACTAATTTGATTAAAATTAGAGGTCTTTTAAACTTTTTTTTGACTTTCGAATAATACTGCTGTTCTTCTATTATTGGTAACTGTTTTCTTCAAACGGTAGAATTTAGTTCGATTATATTGTTATATTTTCGTGTATGTTGGTCAGTGTATGACAGTGTCGTGGTATGAAAGCTGCGAAGGGCTGACTTGTGTTGGTCCTTAAAGACTCCCTGGCTGGAGTCCGAGAGATGGTGTAACATAGTAGCTAGAGACGTTATCAGATATGACTCAGTATAGAAGCCAGTGGCGATCCTGCTGTAACCTTCTTTTACTTTCTTCGTAAAAAGCGGTTGCTACTTCCTTAACTGAAAGATTTATTCTGATTGTACCTTTTCGTTTCTCCATTATTACTACTATTACACTACCTTACACTAATCTGTTCGTTATTATTATTTTTTACGCTCCTTATCCTCCTTTCTTTTTTCCTTTTCTTTAAATTCTCATTTTGTGTGGTGCATATATATTTGGTGCCCCTTGTACCAATATTTATGTGTTCAAATAAATGAATAATAAAATAGTGAAAGCAAAAGTGGTCATCCATGCTGCATCACACCTTACTCCTGCACGTACAACATCTGCAGATGATAATGTTAATTTCGCTTCCACCTAATAACAATTCCACACGTTCGTAAGCTAACTTAAGATAAACCCAGTATTGATTAAAATAAGTATTTACTACGTATACCCTGCCATACCCGTGTAAACAAGTTATCGCTGCAGAGCCGAACATTTTGTTTTGCATCGTCGTTCTCAGTAAGTAGTAGGAACTATATCCTATAAAAGTTATATCAGAATCACATATGCTTCGTGATATTGATCTCTTTTGATGAAAACACTGAGTGGGTGATGTTGGGTTAAGTCTACCAGGAAATATTTTAGAGAAAAATGTCTTTAAAGGACTATGGAACTAAAAACGATACACTTTTAAGCAAAATTTGAGTGATATACCACAAATTGGTCGATGATACATAATCTTATTATCCTTTATTTAATAATCTGTGGTTTCTTGGTCGCAAAAAGTCACATAACGTTTCACTTTCCGTCAGCAGGTAGTAGTAGGTTGTAAAATACATAGTATATCTCAATGAAATTGCGCTTCAGAAGTGGCGTTCATCTGATTTTGTTTTATATGAAATTTCACACAGGTTCATTGGATCCGAGAAATAAATTGTTTGCTGTTAGTAAACTAATGTGTTCTTCAAATATAAATGATACCTGTTGGATGCAGCTGGACAAGTCGTTAATTTCCCGACAAGAGGTAAAGTCGGTTGTTACTGATATGGTACGTTGGTATTTATTGTTTCATTAGTCAAAATAACATAACTGTCGCTGCTGATGATATGTCCTATTTTTATCCTTAGTATTTTGTTCTAATATATTGCCATATGGCTAACCTCATTATTTGATTTTAGTTCTTATTTAGCACCAGTGTTCACCTAGAATATCCTATGTTTATTCGAAAACTTTCTCGTGACCTTATTTTTGTGCTAGTTAGATTAAGTATATGTGTCTGTTTACAACTATACACCATTACCTAAAGTTTTGTAGTTTATTCTTAAGCTTCGTAAGTGGTTTAGGCATTCTGAAAACAATTTCGATTTTCGCATCAAAAGACTACTTCTGATTATGATATCGCCTATGCGAATCAGTAACTATGGTTTCTTTAAAAATTGCTTATCTGTGAACAATCTTTTCATTTGCTTCTGAAATTTTTTTCGATTCCAGAAATCCCGGAAAGATATCTTCTCACTAAATTACCAACCTGCTTCACAAATATTTAAAACATACTCAACCCGATATTCTCGTAAAAGTCTGAAAACCTATTGCAATAAAAAACACTCCACAAACAAACAAAGTGAAGATACTACGGATTCTAGTAATGGTCTATCGTCAACCATTGGTATTTTAAATAACAAATCTGGTCACGTAAGCCAGCTGGCCAATCGTGTCGAGCACCTTTTAATTCAGGTTCGTTATATTTCAACTTTATATTTATTTCGTGAAATATGTGTAAAATTTAGTAGATTTTAATGGCAAAAATATGACCACAGTATTCATTGTTATTATGCTCAAGTTGATGTTTCTTTGTCCATAAAACATTTTTTTGACGTTGACAACTAGAATCTCAGGTATTTTGTTTTATTCTCTATTCACCCATTAGGATTCTACTAATACCTTGTCTCAGAACAAGGAACTACAATTAGTCTATCATATTGAAAAACCGGACTCCTTGGAAAATCATTTATCTTCTAGCACTAAAAAGAATCCAAATAGTCTCATCCCAAGTCCAGTTACAACTACATTATCATCGCCCTGGTATCGTCATTGTAGACCAAAAGCCCCTCCTCCAATTTTTCCTTTTTCTGCGGAAATTTCTGTGAAATGCTGTGAAGGTGAAAGTCGCAATTTTGAGATTTGTGAAGGAAGTAACAAAAGTGGAAATGGTCATCTAGAATTTGAATGTGAAAATCTGCTTAAACCTGTCCCATGTCTACTTTCTTCAGTGTGTTCATATTCAACACGCTGTCCAAGCATACAACTTCTAGAGGCAGATCTCAGTCAAGAAAACATAAACTGGGATTCAGATTACCCACCACCACCTTCCCTACCTTCTTCCAGTGATGTCGCATCAACACTAATGAGTCATTCTTATTCCCCCTCATCCCCTCTCAATGACAATGCTGATGAGGAATCCAATACGCTTTCCGGAACAGTAGCATATTTAGAAGAAGTTAATTTAAAGCCTTTGGCTCCTATAACAAATATCCTGCCAAATGGTGGTTCTTTTATTCGTAAGTTTACTAAAGCTTTGTCTCTGACGATTCTTTTATGGGTATGTCTTCATTTGGTTAAACTCAATTAATGAGTGGCTGATTACTGCTTTCTGAAATGAAGGCCTGGAAAGCAGAATTGAAATGCATTTTCTAACTCCTTGAAATACTTTATAGCTTGTTAAGTGGAGTAACGTGGCTAATTTACTTTTGCTAGATGAATTCTTTAATAGGAATAATTTATTGTCTGTTTTCCAATGTGGTGCCCCAGGAGGTTTGTTTTGGAAATATCGTAGTACTTAAATGGCTAGTTGGTCTGTATTAAATGTCTTATGTTATAATGTCTCAGCACTATGTCAAATGCATATGTTTGTTGCCCTTAACGGTACTCTACCCTCATCTTACAGATCGGTTTTGTCTTCTATCGCCCAAGTCACTTGGTGTTTCATCCACAAAAAAACTGAGTATTCATTACCAACCTTTAATTCAATAGCCACGTCTTGTGACAAAATTTATCGTAGTTTACGGTTGTCATTGTGTTTTATTTCATCAGTTTGACTTAGTAATACGGCCTAGTCAACAGTTCTGTTTAGTAAATGGCTGTTCAAAATAGTCATCTCATTATATCCTGAATATTTTAATAAGGCTGACACTAAATATGAAATTAAGAAAACTAAGTTCAGTTGCATATTAACCTCTTAGATCTTATACGGCAGTTATTTGAAAGCAGTCTACATTACCAACATTTTCTCATTTTTAACAATACTTTGTTTTTCATTATGGTTATCTATGATAAGGCGTTTCGTTCTGTTTAGTTTTTAAGTTATTCTCATGATACGTAGAGTTGTGATTGTGGTGTCTAGGGTGGACTGTTAATCACTAGATGTGGCGGCTGATAACTCAATACATTTAGAAGTCAAGTATAATTAGACCTTATACAACGGATACTATCTATAGCCCCGTACATAAAAGCAGCCTACACTTAATTACTATTGTCTGCTATATTCGAGGTTTGAGCGAGAATATCTCAAAGTGAATGGATTTTTCTCTGGGTTAGATTAGACAAGATTAATCTTTTTTTTTAAGCGACAACTATTCGAGCTGTGTGAGAAAGCTTCGAACAATTAATGTCTGTTAATTATATTAGCGAGACCCAACGATTGGAAGTTCACATAAATTAATGATTGTTTAATTGTTTTCAGACAATGTCTTGTTATATTTTATAAGTGATCGTCAAGCTCAGACATTGTATTTGGCATCCATACAATTTAACCTTTGTTCAATTTAGGGCAGCAATCCGATGACCTGTATATTATTCACTTCAGACCAGTCTAAACATTTTGGGTGACTAATACGCCTTACCTCCTATTGTATATTCCTTCCACCCCCCCTTTAATATTCATCCCCTTAACGTTGTAAATATTCATTTTAGCTTGTGGATGTCACACTTCTACCCTCCTTTTGTGAATTACTAACATCTGTCGCCCTCATCCCTGGCCTTCAGTCTCTTTTAATCCAAATATATGGCTGACAGGTTGGCTCGCGTGCCAAAAATAGGTCATGTTTTTTGCATCACATACAAGTTCAAATGTCTTTGTCATCCTGTAAGGGAACTAAAACTCACACTCTGTTCTCATGTTGAAACCTGTAAATTTTTGTACGGTGAAAATTTTGTTTGAAATAGGATTTAAGTATCTATCAAATCAAAAGCAAATTGAAGACAGGTACATTTATGAGTAATATGTATCCGTTGGAAGTAAATGTAGTGTAGGAGGACGATTCACTTGAATCATGTGCATGACTGTTTTTAATAAACTAATACACTGCTATGATCACCAGTGTCTTTGACGCAAATCATGTAATGATTTTAAAGTCACGTCGTAAATAGTGTGGCGCTTGCTTATTTATAGTGCATTCACTTAAACCACACAAGTAAACGTTACTGGTTGTATTCTTGAAATTAATTTTATCAGTTCTTCTCTGATGACTGTTTAAAATTTCTGTCTATTTTTGTATTTATCAGGTCGTCATCCTAAATGGGCAGTTAATTGTAGTTCAGACATCCTTAGGTCCCATACAGCTGTTCGTTTCCCTGGTTCAAACTCAGTGATCGATTTTGATTTGAATTCATCTCCTTCTGTACCATCCCCTCCCCCCTTGATTGTGGAACGTTTGCCATGTGAACTGGATATTTTGGAATCTCAAGAACAGCATTCAATTTGTTCACCTACTCTAAAAAATCCTAGTCTAACACGTCCGATATTTTTAAAACATGGAGCACCTGATGGTTCAGAACAAAACTCTGAAGACATAAATGGCCTAGATATTAATAAGGAATATGGTCCACCATCAACGATGAAACGGTAAGCCACATTGAGGATATTCACTAATCCACCACTTGGGAATGTGTTTAGGATGTACTACTATGAATCCTAAAAACTGGTAGAATAGATCGCTAGTTTTTGCTTGATATAAGTAGTTATTCAATATGTCCATTTTAATTCTAGCCTCTTTTTCATTTCAATAAACCTTTAATTTCGCTTTTTTCTAAATCCAGCAGTCACTATTGGGATCTTATCAACGAAGAATATTCACCTAAAAAAAGTCGTGTTCAGTTACTATTACCAAGTGAATGTAGCGCATTTCTGCCAGTTAAATCAACTCGTCAGTTAGATCGTAAACATATACACTGTATTTCTCCACCTTATTTACGATAGAGACCCAAGTTAAATTAGTACTTAAAGTACAAATTGTATACTAAATACTTAGTCTTTCATATATATATATATATATATATATATATATATATATATATATATATATATATACTGTACATTTTAATAGACCATTGATTTTTTGTTGACATTTTTGTTATTTCCGTCACTGTTAGTGGTTTTGTTATTTTGCCATGTATCTACGTGTTGGTCTAGTTCTCTATTTATTGACTCATTTCCCTTATTTTCTTTCAATACTTCCGTTCGTTTATTTGTCATTTCTATTTCTCCTGACCCTCTTCCCTTTAATTATTATTGAATAACATTACGATCACAAGTATGGTTTTTATTTTCTATTGTTTCTCTTTGTGTTCATCATGATTTATTCTTGAACAAAGAAAGTGAATAGGAAAAGTAAAATGTCTAATCTCTTTAATTTGCTTTGTGTTTCCTTTCTGTATAGCTTTTATATGTTAGTTTCTTTTTGTTCATTGTTAAAGTTTGTTTACTGTATTTGGCTTTTTTTGGATATTTTGTTATAATAAATTTATTGTACGAATTATTGTACTGATTCGAATTCTGTCTAGCAGTTGTTTTTCCATTAACTTTTTTTAAACATTAAAACTGTTAGGAATGGCAAAATACAAATGTTCTTGCGTAAGAAGCTCTTTTCTGTTAGTTTCCAGATAATTTTCCGTGTTTAATATATATATAGGGAGAACTGATTTCTGATGATGCTTGGTGGATACAGATATCAATGAAAAAAGAGATCATGATGTGTCGATCTTATTACCAATTATTGGTTTTGCATTGCTTGCGCTAAATGATATGCATTCAAACACTTGTTCGATGAAATGACGAAATTTATGTCATAAACCCTGTTTTATAAAAAAAAGATAATATAGGTAGAGGTTTTAATCCTAAACATCCTCTTCATATGAACAGATAACTGTACTAAACATGTCTGCTGTTTACGACAAATGGTAAAGAAATATCTATGTTTAGATCATGAGTCAGTCATGATCTAACCATTGAAATTACTAGAATCTCCACAAAACCCCTTCTGATGAAATATCTATGTGTTGAGTAAAAGAAGTTATAACTGTAACTGACTGCATTTATTGAGTAACTATCTTAATTTATCTAAAAGACAGTAATTTGAAATACCCACTCTTTAGAATTTTTAATACTCTCAACTGATAATGTATTCGTCTAATGGCTTGCTAGATCAGTACTCAAAATTTTTGGATATCTGTACAGCTGTTCACTATATTTTATCACTTATGTTAAGAAGAAATGATAAAAGCAGTGATACCGGGTTACCGCGCTCTACTGTCTGAAGCATAATTTTTGTACTAAGTCGTTCATACAAGAGTAGTTAGATTAGATCCAAACATCTAACCCAATAAAACAGACTAGGATGTTTAACTTGTAGATTGACAACCTGATATCTTTTCGTTATTGCAGTTGGTTGTTGATTTTTTTTTTACCAAGTTCGTTTTTCCTCGCCATCGGTGGTTCGAATATTAGTTAGTTCAGTTTTGTAGATTTTACTTTTGTACGCCGGTAACATATTCGAATTAGTCATTTATTTCATTTATCTTAAAACTGATCACTGCTGTTTACAGAGAGAGGTTAAGTTTACGACTGCACATTCAAGTTTAAATATATGGTGAATTACTAGTTATGGTTGTGTTGGGATGAAAGTTAACAGTCAATAAAGTTTCACAAATAATTCAATCGTAATACCAATTAAAGTGATTTATGTCGATTTTAAAGTGTTTCTCTTAGATAATAATTGCAGAATGATCTTATACAGTTTGATGAACTCAGTATTCTTATACGCTCTGATATCAACGATGAAATAAAACGGAAATACTTTGGAAATATTTAAGATGCATACCAGCTAAGAAAAGAGTAGTTTTTTTCAATGCTTAGTTATGAACTTATTGATTAAAACTATTATTGTGTGAAAATTGTTTGTTGAGGAGTAGCTTAAATGATTAAGTCGATTCAAATACTATTCATCATTAATAAATGGATTGTATATATATGTATAATCATTGGTATATGAATCATTATCTGTTCACTCGGTTGATTAGATCTACAGAATCTTTCTAACGAAACTAATTTAAATAATACAACGTTGTTGTGCATCAGTCAAATGAAACAATTTATACAAGTATTTTACGAAGAATTTTTATATTCATCACAAGTGACCAACTTGTATAATTGTAATCGAAAACTTCTAAAATCTTATGATAAAATTAAGGAAAAAGAGTTAAAATTATCATTTATTATAATTGATTTAAATAATCAAATAAAGTGAACATCTCTGAAAAGTATGAATCACAAATGATCTAATGATTTCAAGAAAGTTTTCTTAAGTGAACGAGTAGCTATTTACAATTCAAGCTAAATTGGATAATGTAACAGGAAATGATTTTTCTGACTTTTCTATATAATTAAAAATATCTTACTGATTATTTATGTCAACATTTTTAGACACATTGTGGTGAAAAGAAATTATACTGTTCGAAACATCATAATGTCTGTTAACGGACTCAAGAAATTTGTGCCAAGTTAGATTATCGATTATGAAAATATCCACAATTTTTAGTTACCTACAAGTAATAATGTTCAGAAATAAAGTGAATGAATAGAATAGAATATTGTAACTAACTCTAAATAATTGACAGTGATCTAATTTCTCTATGCTTTATTTTTTGGATGATAGACTTGATTAAGTATTGAGTGAATTATAGTTAATTATAATAAAATATGTCCATAATACAACAAAATGAAGAAATCCAAGGATGTTGATAGTAATAATTGCAGTTTCAGTATGAGTAAAATGAGCAACAAAACCGGTGAGTATAGACACTTTGAAAAGTTATTGAATAGATCAACCTTATTGAACCCACCGGATATCGAAGCAGTACACACCAACCTTTTATAAGCGCCACCTCACTAAAAGCGAAGAAATTAGAAAGGACATCATATATATAGATCATGGCATAGCATTATAATCAGACAGCATGTCAATCGAGACACTGAAGTCAGGCATCGAAGTAACTAATCATGCTCCACGCTCTATTCAGGAAGATTCGGGAGGAAGAACAAGTGCCAACCAACTATAAAAAAGGATAACTCATGACAATACCAAAGAAAGATCTGAGCAAATGTGAGAACTACAGAGGCATCAGACTACTGTCAGTACCAGGAAGGGTTTTTAACGGAGTGTTTCTGAGCCGGATGGAAGACTCAGGAGACGCCAAACTTTGATATCAACAAGCTGAGTTTTGTAAGGATCAGTCGTGCACAGACCAAATAACGACACTACGAATCATTGTTACTAAACATAAACTTCTTTAACTATGAGAAGGCGTTTGACAGTACGGTTAGGAGAACCTCATGAAATCTTCCTCGACACCATAGATTGAGTATCTGAGAAAATCTTCAACTCCATAAGGAATTCATACGATGGACTACAATGCAAAGTGGTACATAGAGGACAGCTGACAGATACATTCCAAGTAAGGACCGGAGTCCGACAAGGCTGCTTACTCTCCCTCTTTCTCTTCTGGTGGTTGACTGGATTGAGGAGACCTTAACACCGGACGGGAAGCACGAAATACAGGTTGGATGCAACTTGGAAATTTGAACTTCGCAGATGCCCTGGCCCTTCTATCCTATACACAAGAACAAACGCAGGTCAGGTCAAACAGTGTAGCAGAAGCCACTGTATCAGTAAACCTCAACATACAAGGGTAAAAGCAAGATGCTCAAATACAGCACAGAGAACATCAACCCAATCACACTTGATGGAGAGTCTCTGGAAGATGTGAAAACTTTCACGTAAATGGATAGCATCATCTATGAACATGGAGAATCTGATGCAGACGTAAAGTCAATGATTGGCAAAGCAAAGACAGCATTCCTGCAGTTGGAAAACATATGGAACTCAAAATAACTGTCACCTAACATCAAAGTCACAATCTTCAATATGATTGTCAAGATAGTTCTACTGTACAGAGCTGAAATTTAGAGAACCACCACAACCATCATCAAAAGCGGTACAAGTACTTATAAACCATTGTCTACGCATGATACTCAATATCCGTTGCCTGAATACCATCAGCTACAGCCCACTGCGGGAAGGAAGAAACCAGCTTCCAGCTGAGTAGAAAATTAATAAAAGATGCTGAAAGTGGATAGGATACACACTAAAAAATCACTAAACTGCATTGATTAGCAAGCCCTAACTTTGAATCCTGAAGGAATACAGAAAGAAAGAAGGCGAAAGAACACACTGCGTTGGGAACTGAAAGCAGACATCAGAGGTATGGATAGCAACTGGAAACAACTAGAAAGAATTGCCCAGGACAGAGTTGGATGAAGAATGCTGTTGAGAGGCCTATGCTTCTTCACGAGTGGTAGGTAAAGAGTTGAAGTAAGAAGGGTTTTTAAATGTAACGTACAAACCGAGATATTATGTCTTTTAGTTTGACGCTCCTGACTGACCTCAACTACCAGGGATCGCTTAACCCCTGTTTCATTCCTACATGTTATCCTCAGCAACATTTATTTATAACCCTACCACGGATAAAACCCTGAACGTGCTATTCCCAAAAAGTGCTCAATTTTCAAATTTCTGAGTCGATATCCAGTGATTTATGCTTTTAAATTCAGTCAATTTACAATTTTTCACAATCATCATCCATTAAGATTGGTAAATTTCGCCATAAACCTGACTTCGATGTACTTTTCTGATCCACTGTTGTGGAACAGATGTAGACAAACTCTCTAGTTTATTCAACATTTTAAAGGATGTAAATATCTCTGGTTTACACATCAATTGCTGGTGAGATACTTCAGTGGTAATGTCTGTGACTGAAAATGGGTAATGTGGACTCGGACTCCACAAGGAATATCACTTCCCTCAGGATTACAAGTGTAACCTTCAATCTAACATGAAATATGGGTCAAAGGTTTCTTGTCCGTTATCTCCAACTAGGGAATATAAATTGATATTCTATCATCTTTAGATAAATTATTTTCTCTCTGGCTGCATTTTTAATATA